TACCCAAAGCCTTCCTCTGGGGGCACTTTTGGATGGTCCAAAGGGACTCGCAATGCGTTTTCTGAGACCCGCTTTTTCAGTCTTCTCCCATTGCGGATAGGGCTATTTTTAGGCTTGCTGTGAAAGAGCGAATACGGAGGGTCCAGTTGCATGTAGGGCTGCGTAAAGGCTCCCCTGGGGAGTTCACGTGTACCCAAAGCCTTCTTTTCGGCACAGTTTTGGATGGGCGAAAGGGACTTGTAACGTGTTTTCTGGGCCCGATTTTTCAGTCGTCTCCGATGCCGGCTAGGGATATATTTAGGGTTGCTAGGAAACAGCGAACCCGGACGGTCCAGTTGCATGTGGGACTGCGTAAAGGCTCCCCTGGGGAGTTCACTTGTACCCAAAGCCTTCCATTGGGGGCACTTTAGGATGGGCGAAAGGGGCTCGGAATGCGTTTTCTGGGTCCCGAGTTTTCAGTCTTTTCCGATGCAGGCTAGGGCTATATTTAGGGTTGCTCAGAAACAGCGAACCCGAAGGGTCCAGTTGCATGTGGGGCTGCGTAAAGGCTCCCCTGGGGAGTTCACTTGTACCCAAAGCCTTCCATTGGGGGAACTTTTGGATGGGCGAAAGGGACTCGCAATGCGTTTTCTGAGGCCCGCTTTTTCAGTCTTCTCCCATTGCGGCTAGGGCTATTTTTAGGCTTGCTGTGAAAGAGCGAATACGGAGGGTCCAGTTGCATGTGGGGCTGCGGTAAGGCTCCCCTGGGGAGTTCACTTGTACCCAAAGCCGTCCTCTGGGGGCACTTTTGGATGGTCTAATAGGACTCGCATCCTTTTCTGGGGCCCGCTTTTTCAGTCTTTTTAATGCCGGCTAGGGTAATGTTTAGGGCTGCGGTGAAAGAGTGAACCTGGAGGGTCCAGTTGCATGTGGGGCTGCGTAAAGGCTCCCCTGGGGAGTTCACTTGTACCCAAAGCCTTCCTTTGGGGGCACTTTTGGATGGGCGAAAGGGACTTGTAACGCGTTTTCTGGGCCCGATTTTTCAGTCATCTCCCATGCCGGCTAGGAATATATTTAGGGTTGCTCGGAAAGAGCGAACACGGAGGGTCCAGTTCCATGTGGGACTGCAAAAAGGCTCCCCTAGGGGGTTCACTTGTACTCAAAGCCTTCCATTGGGGGCACTTTAGGATGGGCGAAAGGGGCTCAGAACGCGTTTTCTGGGGCACGCTTTTTCAGTCTTCTCCCATGCCGGCTAGGGATATATTTAGGCTTGCGGTGAAAGAGTGAACCCGGATGGTCCAGTTGCATGTGGGGCTGCATAAAGGCTCCCCTTGGGAGTTCAGCTGTACACAAAGCCTCATTTCGGGGCACTTTTGGATGGGCGAAAGAGACTTGTAACGCGTTTTCTGAGACCCGCTTTTTAAGTCGTCTCCCATTGCGGATAGGGCTATTTTTAGGCTTGCTGTGAAAGAGCGAATAGGGAGGGTCCAGTTGCATGTGGGGCTGCGTAAAGGCTCCCCTGGGGAGTTCACTTGTACCCAAAGCCTTCCTCTGGGGGCACTTTTGGATGGGCGAAAGGGGCTCGGAACGCAATTACTGGGTCCCGAGTTTTCAGTCGTCTGCCATGCCGGCTAGGGATATATTTAGGGTTGCTCAGAAACAGTGACCCCGGAGGGTCCAGTTGCATGTGGGTCTGCATAAAGGCTCCCCTGGGTGTTCACTTGTACCCAAAGCCTTCCTTTGGGGGCACTTTTGAATGGGCCAAAGGGACTTGTAACGCCTTTTCTGAGGCCCGATTTTTCAGTCGTCTCCCATGCCGGTTAGGGCTAAATTTAGGATTGTTCGGAAAGAGTGAACCAGGAGGGTCCAGTTGCATGTGGGGCTGCGTAAAGGCTCCCCTGGGGAGTTCAGTTGTACCCAAAGCCTTCCTCTGGAGGCACTTTTAGATGGGTGAAAAGGGCTCAAAACGCATTTTCTGGGTCCCGAGTTTTCAGTCGCCTCCGATGCCGGATACGGGCTATATTTAGGGTTGCTCAGAAACAGCGAACCCGGAGGGTCCAGTTGCATGTGGGGCTCCATAAACGCTCCCCTGAGGAGTTAAGTTCTACCCAAAGACTTCCTTTGAGGGCACTTTTGGATGGGCAAAAGGGGCTTGTAACGCGTTTTCTGGGGCCCGAGTTTTCAGTCGTCTCCGATGCTGGCTAGGGCTATATTTAGGGTTGCTCGGAAAGAGTGCATAAGTAGGATCCAGTTGCATGTGGGGCTGCGTAAAGGCTCCCCTGGGGAGTTCACTTGTACCCAAAGCCTTTTTTGGGGGGCACTTTTGGATGCTCTAAAGGGACTCGCATGCTTTTCTGCGGCCCGCTTTTTCAGTCTTCTCCCATTGCGGCTAGGGTTATATTTAGGCTTTCGGTGAAAGAGCGAATATGGAGGGTCCAGTTGCATGTGGGGCTGCATAAAGGCTCCCCTGGGGTGTTCACTTGTACCCAAAGCCTTCCTCTGGGGGCACTTTTGGATGGTCTAAAGTGAGTCGCTATGCGTTTTTTGGGGCCCGCTTTTTCAGTCTTTTCCGATGCCGGCTAGGGCTGTATTTAGGCTTGCGGTGAAAGAGTGAACCCGGAGGGTCCAGTTGCATGTTGGGCTGTGTAAAGGCTCCCCTGGGGTGTTCAGTTGTACCCAAAGCCTTCTTTTGGGTCACTTTTGGGTTGGCGAAAGGGGCTTGGAACGTGTTTTCTTTGGCCAGATTTTTCAGTCGTCTGCCATGCGGGCCAGGGCTATATTTAGGCTTGCTGTGAAAAAGCGAATACGGAGGGTCCAGCTGCATGTGGGTCTGCGTAAAGGCTCCCCTGGGGAGTTCACATGTACCCAAAGCATTCCTCTGGCGGCACTTTTGGATGGGCGAAAGGGACTCGGAACGCGTTTTTTGGGTCCCGAGTTTTCAGTCGTCTCCAATGCTGGCTAGCGCTATATTTAGGTTTGCTTGGAAAGATCGAATACAGAGGGTACAGTTGCATGTGGGGCTGCGTAATGGCTCCCCTAGGGAGTTTAGATGTACCCGAAAGCCTTTCTTTAGGGGCACTTTTGGATGGGCGAAAGGGGCTCGGAACGCATTTTCTTGGTCCCTATTTTTCAGTCGTCTCCCATACAGGGTAGGGCTATATTTAGGGTTGCGGTGAAAGAGTGAACCCGGAGGGTCCAGTTGCATGTGGGGCTGCGTAACAGCTCCCCTGGGGAGTTCCGTTGTACCCAAAGCCCATCTTACGTGCAGATCAACTCCCCAGGGGAGCCTTTATGCAGCCCCACATGCAACTGGACCCTCCGTATTCATGCTTTCCGAGCAAGCCTAAACATAGCTCTAGCTGGCATCGGAGATGACTGAAAAATCGGGCCCCAGAGAACGCGTTCTGAGCCTCTTTGGACCATCTTCCCCCAAAGGGAAGGTTTTGGGTACAAGTGAACTCCCCATGGGAGCCTTCACACAGCCCCACATGCAACTGAACCCTCTGTGTTCGCTCTTTCTGAGCAACCCGAAACATGCCCCTACCTGGAATCTGAGACGAATTAAAAACAAGGCCTCAGAAAACGTATTGAAAGACCCTTTTGCCTAACCAAAAGTCCCCCCAAAGGAAGGCTCTGGGTACAACTCAACTCCCCTGGGGAGCCTTTATGCAGCCCCACATGAAACTGGACCCTTTCTGTTTCCTCTTTCTGAACTACCCGAAACATATCCCTACCCGGCATGGGAGAGGAATTCAAAATATGGCCCGAGAAAATGCGTTCAAAGCCCCTTTCGCCCATCCAAAAGTGCGCCCTTAGAAAGGCTTTGGGTACAGCTAAGCTCCTCAGGGGAGCCTTCACACAGCCCCACATGCAACTGGACCCTCTGTCTTCGCTCTTTCTGAGCAACCCCAATAATATCCTTCCCCGGATTCGGAGAGGAATTCAAAAGAAGGCCCCAGAAAATGCGTTCAAAGCCCCTTTCGCCCATCCAAAAGTGCCCCCAAAGGAAGGCTTTGGGTACAACTGAACTCCCCAGGGGAGCCTACACGAAGCCCCACATGCAACTGGACCCTCTGTGTTCGTGTTCGATCTTTCCGAGCAATCCAAATCATAGCCCTAGTCGGTATGGGAGAGGAATTGAAAATACGGCCCCAGAAAACGCATTCAAAGACCCTTTCGCCCATCCAATAGTGCCCCCAAAGGAAGGCTTTTGGTACAACTGAACTCCCCAGGGGACCTTCACACAGCCTGAAAAATTGTGCCCCAGAAAACGCGTTCATTTAAGGATATGGTGAGTGGGTTAGGGTAATGTTTCGGGTTCTGGTTAGGTTTAGATTAGGGTGAGAGTATTAGGGTTAGGTTTAGGGATAGGGTTAGAGAATTAGGTTTAGTGTAAGGGTAAGTTTTAGGTTTAGTGTAACTTTTTTTTAGCGTAAGGTTAAGGGTTAAGTTTTGGATAAGAGTAAGGGTTAGAGTTAGGGTAAGTGTTAAAGGGTTAGAGGAAGGGGAAGAGGAAGGGGAATGGAAAGGGGAAGGGGAAGGAGAAGGGTAACGGGAACAGGAATAGGAACGGGAAGGGTTAATGTTCTGGCCGTCCCGGTGCTGGGGTTCAGTCCCATGCGGATGGGAGGCTTGCCGTCCCGAGCTCCCGGGTGCCTCCATCCGGAGGCGAGGAAGCAGACCGTCCCGAGCCCCTTGGTTCCGGTCTCGGGAGACAATAGTGCTAGCCGCACCGGGGTCCAGAGCCGACCTCGGGTGTCTCGGAGACGGCTATCCAATGGCACAGGTATCTGGCCACATACGGCGCGGTGCTTGCTGTGCGTTGAACGAGGTTGTTGCTGTCGAGACGTTTGGGGACCGGCTGTTCCGAAATCTGTGGACTGTGTCGAGCGGCATGCCGGCAGACTGTCCCGTGTCCCGGGTGTCCGGCCTCGATCAGCACGTTGGCCAGCCGTGCCGTGAAGCGGGAGGCTGGTGTCCGCTGCTATTGGGACTCGCCGTTCCCGTTCTATCCCGTGCAGATCGGCGAACGACCATCCTACGCTCCCGGTTATATCCGTTCGGAGGCGCGGGAGCCAACCGTCCCAAGCCCCTTGACTCAGGTCGTGGGCAACGTGTGTGCTAGCCACACCACGATCCGGGCCCCGTCTCGGGCGGATCGGAAAAGGCGATCCCACGACACAGTTGTGCGGCCACGAGCTGCATGCGTAACAGCCGTGTTCTGAAACAGGAGGTTGTCATCCGCAGGATCGGGGGCTGCCTGTCCCCGAGACCAAAGCTTCTGTCCTGTCCGGAGCGGCGGCCGTCCTTCCCGAACAGCCACGCTCCGGTCCTGGACGACGTGTGTGCTAGCCGCACTGGGGTCCGGGTGGGACCTCTGTCAGCTCCGCTATTTCGATCGCAGGACACGAGTGTCCCTCCACGGGCAGCGTGGGTCCGGCTTCCCGAGCCCTTTGGCTCCATCCTGGGTGTCGTGTGTGCTCGCCGCACCGGGGTCCGGATCCCATTTTGGGCGCCTCGGGGAAGGAGATCCTACGACACGGTTGTCCGGCCACAAGCACTGTGGCTGCCAGCCGTGTCGAGAAGTGGAGGCTGTCGTTCACCGGCTCGGAGTTACGCAGTGCCGGGGACCGGGGATTCAGACAGTCCAGAGCGGCAGGCGTCCGGATGTGGACACTGGGCTCCGGTCCTGGGCGACATGTGTGCTAGCTGCACAGGGGTCCGAGTTCTGTCCCGGGCGGCTCGGGGAAGGAGATCCCACGACACAGTGGTCCGGCCACGAACTGCATGCGTAGCAGCCGTGTCGTGAAACAGGAGGCTGTCATCCGCCGGCTCGGGGGCTGGTCTTCCTTGAGACCAAGGGTTCTGTCCTGTACGGTGAAGCAGGCATCCGTATGGGGACTCTGTGGTCCGGTCCTGGGCGACGTGTGTGCTAGCCGCACTAGGTCCCGGTCGGACCTCTGTCGGCTCCGCTATTTCGATCGCAGGACACGTGTGTCCCTCAACGAGCAGGGTGGGTCTGGCTTCCCGAGCCCCTAGGCTCCGGTCCTGTGCGACGTGTGTGCTAGCCGCACCGGGGTCCGGGTCCCCCGACGACCAGCTCCGGGAAAGCGATTGCAGGACACGGGTGTCCGTCCACGGGCAGTGTGGAACCGGCTGTGCAGAGCTCCTTGGCTCCGATCCTGGGCGACGGGTGTGCTAGACACACTGGACTCCATGTCCCGTTTCTGGAGTCTCGAGGACCGCGGTCCACGACAGGGTTGTCCACCTTCGACCGGCACGGTTGTCAGCTGTATCATGAAGCCAGGACTCTTGTCCGCCGGCTCGGGGGCTGGTCGTTGCCGAGACCGGGGGTTCAGTCCTGTCCAGAGTGGCGGCCGTCACTTCCGAACACTCACGCACCGGGGTCCGGGTCCCGCCTTGGGTGGCTCGACAAAAGTGATCGCAACACACGGGTGACCGGCCACAAGCGGTGTGGCTGCCAGCCTTGCCGCGAAGCAGGAGGCTGTGTTCCGTTCGCTCGGGAACTGTCCGTCCCGGAGCGGCGGCCGTCCTTCCCGAACGCCAAGACTCCGGTCCTGGGAGACGTGTATGCTAGCCGTGCAAGGGTAAGAATCCCGTTTCGGGCGGATTGGGGACAACGATACCATGACATGGTTGTCCGGCCACGAGCGGCATGGGAGCCAGACTTGCCGCGAAGCGTCAGGCTGTCGTTCACCGGCTCGGAGTTATGCCTTCCCAGGGAACGTCGATTCAGACAGTCCAGAGCGGCAGTCGTCCGGATGTGGACCCTGGGCTCCGGTCCCGGGTGACGTGTGTGCTAGCCGCGCCGGGGTCCGGGTCCCGCTTTGGGCGGCTCGACGAAAGTGATCGCAAGACATGGGTGACCAGCCACAAGCGGTGTGGGTGCCAGCCTTGCCGCGAAGCGTGAGGCTGTCCTCCACCGGCTTGTGGGCTGGCAGTCGTGGGGACATGGGGTTCTGTCCTCTCCGGAGCGGCAGCCATGTGTCCCGAAAACCCACGGTCCTATCCTGGGCGACGTGTGTGCTAGCCGCACTGGGGTCCGGGTGGGACCTCGGTCGGCTCCGCTATTTCGATCGCAGGACACGAGTGTCCCTCCACGGGCAGCGTGGGTCCGGCTTCCCGAGCCCTTTGGCTCCATCCTGGGTGTTGTGTGTGCTCGCCGCACCGGGGTCCGGATCCCATTTCGGGCGCCTCGGGGAAGGAGATCCTACGACACGGTTGTCCGGCCACAAGCACTGTGGCTGCCAGCCGTGTCGAGAAGTGGAGGCTGTCGTTCACCGGCTCGGAGTTACGCAGTGCCAGGGACCGAGGATTCAGACAGTCCAGAGCGGCAGGCGTCCGGATGTGGACACTGGGCTCCGGTCCTGGGCGACGTGTGTGCTAGCTGCACGGGGTCCGGGTTCTGTCTTGGTCGGCTCGGGGAAGGAGATCCCACGACACAGTGGTCCGGCCACGAACTGCATGCGTAGCAGCCATGTCGTGAAACAGGAGGCTGTGGTCCGCTCGCTCGGGAACTGTCTGTCCCCAAGATGGGTTCTGTCCAGTGCGGAGCGGCGGCCGTCCTTCCCGAACGCCTAGATTCCGGTCCTGGGAGACGTGTATGCTAGCCGCGCATGGGTTAGAATCCCTTCTCGGGATGACAGGGGACAACGATCCCATGACACGGTAGTCCGGCCACGAGCTGCATGTAATGAAACAGGAGGCTGTGATCCGCTGGCTCAGGGAGTGGCTGTCCCCGAGACAGGGGTTCTGTCCTGTCCGGAGCGGCGGTCGTCCTTCCCGAACACCCACGCTCCGGTCCTGGGCGACGTGTGTGCTAGCCGCACCGGGGTCCGGGTCCCGTTTCGGGCGGACTGGGGACAGCGATCCCACAACACGGTTGTCGGGCCACGAGCGGCGTGGGAGCCAGACTTGCCGCGAAGCGTGAGGCTGTCATCCGCCGCCTCGTGGGCTGGCAGTCGCGGGGACCTGGGGTTCTGTCATCTGCAGAGCAGCAGCCGTCAGTCCCTCCTATCCTGGGCGACGTGTGTGCTAGCCGCACTGGGGTCCGGGTCGGACCTCTGTCGGCTCCGCTATGGCGATCACAGGACACGAGTGTCCCTCCACGGGCAGCGTGGGTCCGGCTTCCCGAGTAATTTTTTTTCTGTGATCAAAACAGTTTCATTGGTTGGTAGACAACATTCAGTTAAAGTCTGTAAAATTACAGATTGTCACAGAGCCTATGTTTTGCAAGACACTGCATATTCAATGGTGAGGAACAAAATGGATACAGAGTTTGGACGACTTTGTGAACAAATTAAAGAATCTCGTGAGAAAAGAGGTACGTGCTTTAACGCTAAGGATTTTAAGACTTGTCTCTGCATTTGTAACTGAAAATGCACAACTAAGATCTTTGGTATCTATTCTTTATTGCAAGGTCGCACCTCTCCAGCATGTACTCCATGCGACAACTCCAAGTCACCACAGCAGAACCCTGCTACTGAAGACGACAAACCAGATGAAGAGAGTAATGAAAATGAGGAGATGACAGCGGCACCTGTAGATGCCAGTACACCCGTTTCTAATGGTAAGTTGCATTTTATTCAGCTGCTCTTGTCATTCATACCTTCTCTGTTCTTGAGGCGCAACAGGTGTCTCTGATGCCTGTCTCTTTATGCCAGAGGTATTTTGTTTTCAAATTTACTTCAAAATGTGAGAGAGAAATCCAGAGGTCATTCATTCAATATAGTTATGAATTAAAGTTCAAAGAAAGTTGGTTTACAATATAAAAAACAAAAAACAAAACAAAACAAAACAAAAAACAACTTTGACAGCCCAATTGACATTTAGTCGCCCCTAAATTGCTAATTCTTGAGGTAAAAAATGTTGTGGATGGCAGTTTCTGAATACTTAACTAGTTTTTAATTATGCAAAATGGTATTTTTACCCCCACTCCACCCCTCCCTTCCCCAAATGCTAAAATCTTAGCTACCTCATACTGTGATTTCCAGTTGAAGGAGGGAAGTCTAACTAGTGAGAGTGGGAATTTTGCCATGGACTCCACCCATATCCTTTTGCAATACTATATGAATACTACGAATGTTGGGCAAAACCACAAAGTTTGTTTTTTCACAAAAGGTTTACCGAATCAGGAAGCATACGAGGTATAAGTCTTCACATTTTTTTCTCCATTGAATATTCCCTTAAAATTGTCTCATTAATTAATCTCTTCCAAACACATATTCAGCTTTTGAAGTCTTCCGCTTGATACCAGACTTGAAGGAGAGCTTATTTCCAGAGGCTTTTATGATGTTCATCTGTATTAGTTCATGTAGTAAGACAGTGACTTTATCAAATAACCTCATGTTGTATTAATACTGCCCATCCAAAGTAAGAATCCTCAGCATGTAAAATCCTGAAAGTGACTGTTTAGTGAATGAAATACCATAGCAGTGTGTGTGGTTTGTTTGCTTGTTTTTAATCTTAATAGCAAACTGACCCCATTAACTTTCAACTCTTTTCTCAGAATATGTAGGCAGTGGTAGCTCAGTTCCTTTGTTTTCCTTGTCAGTCAAGTAAGATGAAGATAATGGATTTTGAAGAAAGAATTCTTTTGGTTATGTTTTGGATTACTTTTTTATGCTGTCTCTTTGTAGGTGCGTCAGAAAGAAAGCGCAGAAGGAACAACTGTGCGCATGCTGCAGCAAAGAGAAGAAGGAGTTCTCAATTCGATACAGAGAACAGAGTACCAACAGATGACCAAAACGATAGTGATGAAGAAGAGTTTGTGGACAAACATGTTTCTGACATATGTCAAGTAAAACTTAACACTGAAAAGGAAAGTGCTAAGCTTTGTGGATATTCCCCACCAAGATGGGGAACTATAACTAATGAAAATCCAAGTTCAAATGGTAAGGGAGAAGTCCAACAGATCCTTTAGCACCTTATTCTTGCTGAGGAGGATCGCACTATTTATTAGCTTTAGCCTTCAATTGCACTCTATTTTTTCTGTTACAGCTCTTAAAAATCATCACACAGTTTATTCCGTAATGATGTTGCTCCTCTAATTGTGCAAGCCAAGCCCACATGTTTCTGTAGGTGCTGGGTTTTTGATTCTGAAGTCTGTTTTTTTCTAATGGTACCTAACTGAAAGCCAGCAGTCACTGACATTCTTTTATTGTATGAGGTGCTTTCCAATAACGAGCAGCTTAGGTGAAAAAGCTGCACTTCAAGATGCGTGGAGCCAGAGTAACATGTGGAATAGGAGACTTAAGCCCTAATGTTGTACTCTAAGATGTGTTCCCTAACCTGAATTGGCAACATGACTATTTTTTTCCACTATTAAGCTTTTCATTAGTGCTTTTGGTTTGTTTGTGGGTATTTTTGTTTGCTTTTTTTGTCTTAGTTTCTAATTTTTATGGAGCAGTGACTTTAGCTGGAAAGAAGGGAGAAGCCAAGTATTTCTCAGTGAAGACGATAACAATTCTGTCTCTGTATTTGTAGAAAGAGACTGTTTGGCAGGTACAGGATACTTCACTGAGACTGTATTCTAGATAAAAAGAAAACCTGACTGAAGAAATCTGTGTCCTTCCAGATCCTGGGCATTTCAAGCGGTGACTCCTGAACGTTCTTGGGAAGAAGACCAGCAACAGATAAGTGATGAGAACACTGTACAAGTCCCTACGGAGACAGACTACATAGTTATTGTGGATCGCTATGAGCTCAAAGTATGTCTAATTTCAGCTTTTTTTTAATGCTCAAATAGGACATATTCCTGCGTCATGTAAAATTGCAAATTAAGCCCATTGTTAACCAATGCCAATTAAAACAATTAATTGGAAGGACATATAGATAGTGAAATAATTCAGCCTGTAATGCACTGTGACTGTTTAGTTTCCACACCTCATGTAGATTTCTGTAGGCTACCATTTGCTTCTGGTCATCTGTAGTTTAGGAGACAGATTCTTTGCCAAATTTTTAAGATAAAAGGCCTTGCTGAATTTTAAAATACCACACTGACAACCTGCTAGTACTATTATGGATATCATTTTAATGATTCATAATTCTTATGATGGGTTTGAGGGCTTTTATTTGGGGATTTTTTTTCATGCTTTGATGTATTAAGAACCTGAAAAGGATCTTTATTTCTTGCAGTGATGATTTTAAACCTGAAGTTAGCAGGTTGACGTAAACTAGCTAGCCATGGAGAAGTGACTACTTTTCTGAAATTCCTTGAAAGTGCAGTATTAGAATTTCTTATATTGTGTGTGTATATATATATATATATATACATGAGGGAGGCAGAGTTTGCTGATAAGATGATAAGCAGCATTATTTCCAGGGGGCAGTAGTATTTCCATTTGGTATGGCTGCTCCCTAAAGCTACATACTTGCAGGCTCACACAGGTAATGGACAGCTGTGGCAGTGGAAGAAGGTGCTGCCACTAGCTTGTCACTGTTGCTGTGCCAGAGATTATCATCTCTGCATCTTTGGTAATAGAAATGACTGTGTGAGAGAGAGGTGATTGCTACAAGCAGTCGCTTTGCTATTTAACCACCCCTGAATTTAAAGGTAGGATTGAGCAAAGTAATCCACCTTTGCTCTGGGCGTTTGAGCAATCTGTTCTGCCAGCAGAGTTGTAGGCATGGCACACGTGGGTAAAGGTAATCACCTAAGGGTGCTTCCTTTTCCAGCTGGCACAGCGGTATCTACAAGATCTGCAGCCTTTTTACAGTGCCCCGCGCTGCTGCAATGCTTCTCTAATGAAATGCAACAGTGGCTTTGCTGTGGCAGCAGCTGTCCTACAAAGAGGATCTGTCATTCCCTGCTGCTTTGGGAGCAGTCGTCTTGCAATTACAACCATTGATGTGATAGATTGGTTAGTAGTAAAAGATTGTCCGAAATTTCAGCCTTTCCTTTCTCTGAAATATGAAAAATTAACTCATTTTCCCTGCTGAAATCTCATGGGATATTTAATCTGTTCTCTGAAGTGTCACATTTTATTTAATAGTAATAATAATAAAATAAATAATAAAGTAATAATAATTTATTTAATACTCGCAGAGTACCAATGTGATGACGGTGGAGACAAGGAGAAACCAAGAAGATCAAAAAAACGTGACCTCATTTCAAAAGAAAACGTTTTGTATGGCAAAGAGTCTTCTGAGCCTGGTGAGAAATTGCAGCAAACTTCCTCTCTCAAGTGTGACACTGAATGTAGCTCTAAAAACCTTTCCTCCTCAGCTATTGCAGAGAGATGCCAAGGTACAAAGGACAAGACTAAAAACACTGAGAAAGAGCATTAACAAAGCAAGAGGGAACATGCTCCTAGTGAAGAGAAGGAGAGTCAAAAAGCAGGTCCTTCCAGCAAGAGGAATCAACTTGAATACAAAGAATACAAACTTGAGCTCCTGGCTTCATGCTGAACTCTGTGCTGTTCTTGTCCTAATCTTGGTCTCTCCATAGATACTATGGTTTAAATCCAAATAGAATCATGCGATGAGGAAGATCTCACTGCAACAAATTCAATATCTAAAATCAAAGTTTACATTTTCCGTGATTTTCTTCTTGAGCAGAAGTGTGGAGTACTCCTTTTCTATTAATGTAGAGATTATTTCAAACAGTTTTGAAGTGCTTGGTGACTTACCAGTCTGCAGGTTTATTATCAAATCAAAAAAAAAAAAAAATGACTTGGTAGACTATTTTTTTCCCAGTTTTGAATGACCACTAGGAAAGAAGGCCTGAAATGAAGAGGTGAAAGGCAAATAGTTTTCATTTGGTGTGATGATTAAGTGTCCAACAAGAGGAAGAGTTGCAAGATCCCTTCTTAAATTCAGTCCAGCCAAGTAGGAAAAGTAAATGTGGACAGCTGTATCTTGGCAAAGAAGATAGTAGGGAGCAAGGAGGTTTAGCAGTCAAGATGGAAGGTGATGCCATGAGGCTTACAGGCTAGTAATGTTCTAGTGAAACCCAGCCTTCCTAAAGAAGCCTGCCTGAATAATTCCTTTGAATAACAGACTCTGTTCAGCTATTTCATAACATAGAAATGGTGCTGACTGCTTCTTCAGAGTAACATAAGTTAGTGATACTACTGAAATAGTTGTGGTTCAGACGTAGATCTGATTTCTCCTAAGCACGCTGAATTCACAGCTGTTGATCCTCCAGAGGAGGCTTTGCAATTGAACACCTGGAGAATAGGTAAATTTCCCGCTGTTGTTCTCCTCTCCTTGTTTTGTTTTGTTTTGTTTTTTTTCCTAGTAGCATAGGCTTAAGACTCTGAAGAAACGGGCTGCTTTTTTTCATTCCCAACACTGGCTGTTCCTCCTCAGCCCCACCTTCTATTTTTGCAGTCATAGGATATGTGAATGTAAATTCTTGGGAGAGAGGTAGAGAACTCTGTTTCAACTGGTGTTTTTTTCGGCTATGTGGGGAGAACATAGAGTGTTTTTGAATCTTCTGGCTCTTATTCAGAGCAGCATGTGGAGGGAGACAGACGCGTTTGCTTTTTTAGTGCAATGGCTTCAGAAGCAAGAGGGGAAAAAACACTTTCTCTGGGAGCTGGAGAAGGTGTCCTAATCACCGGAAGAAGAAGGTTAAGAAAACAAAAAAGAAGAAGAAGAAGACAAAGAAGACAAAGAAGAAGACAAAGAAGATGAAGACGACTACCACGAAGAAACAAAAAAGATTAAGAAAACCGAGAAGAAGAAGACGAAGACGACGAAGAAGACGACGACGAAGACGACGACGATGACAACGACCAGTCTCTTGGTCATACTGAACCTATAAGGTCAAGCCTCTTGTAGCATGTAATCTAGCTGGTTTTAGTCCTCTGGAGAGTTCTACAAGTGGATTGATCCATCTAGTGATTCAAGTATAGCTCAAAAACAGGAGCGTATGCCACCATCCCAAAAAACAGTGAGCCAGCAGCCTCTACTAAATATCCCTCTATTAAGTGAATTCCAAGCACTTAGAAATCTAGAAATCCATAGACTCCAGCCTGCCTAAAGAACCCTGCAACTGACTGAATGAAACACAAAGCACTTACCCCAAAGAACAGCCCAGGCAGAAGGAGCTCTCTGATGCCATGCCTGGGGCTCATATACCTTTTGGACCCCCCAGCACCCAAACTCAATCACGTGGTAAAGGGGATGGGCAAAGCACAAGAAAGTAGGAAGAGAGAAGGCACAGCAGCAGCTGTGATGTTTTGTTTGTTTGTTTGTTTGTTTCTTTTTTGTTTGTTTCTTTCTTTAAATCTGCTTTAGCTCAAAAGCATGCAGGGAGCAGACAAGAGACCTGGGGTGTTTCTAGAAGCAGAAATCCCCGTGCTTTTGCTACAGCTTTTAGTGTTGAACTGACACTATCACCAAGCAAGTAATTGAAACTTCTTCATCTGGAATTAGTTTAAACAGGCTCACCATCATCTGCAAACACAGAGAACCAGCATTCACTAGCCCTAAACCTAACCCCTAACCGTAACCCCAACCCTCACCCTAAACCCTAACCCTAGCCGCAGCCGTAGCCCCTAACTCCAACCCTAGTTTCCGAGAACTTCATTACTCGGCATGCTCTGGGCTCTCAACACGGCCTCCTGGAGGTCCGGAGTCTGAGAACTTCATTTCCCGGTATGCTCTGGGAACTCAACATGGTCTCCCGGAAGTCCGGAGTCCCAGAACTACATTTGCCTTAATGCTCTGTGCACCCAACATGGCCTCCTGGAAGCCTGGTGCCAGAAAACTACAACTACCAGCATCCCCTGGAGAGCCGGCATGGCCAATCAGAGAACCCTAGCCCCTACCGCCCTTACACAAAAAAGCCTCAAACCCTAACCCTAAAAATCCTCGAAAGCCCTATAGACCCAACCCAAACTATTTACCACACTAAACCCCTGAAGACCTATGCCTAAAACCCATAACCCAATAAATTAACACGCTCAAATCCCAAACCCACAAAATTAAGACACTCAAATCCCAAACCCAAAAAAAATAGGATGCTCAAAACCCAAACCCAAAAAAATGAGGATGCTCCAAACAGTAACCCAAAACATTAGGATGCTCCAAACCCTAACACAAAACATTAGGACACTCAAAACCCTAACCCTGGAGAACCTAACCTGAAAAAAAAAAAAAAAAAAAAAAAAAAAAAAGATCTTAAAACCCTAACCCTAAATAACTGACCAAAAATAAAACCCTAAGACCCTAACCCTAAAAAACCTATCAACACTACAACACAAAAAAATCTAAAACCGTAACATGCTAACGCTGAAACCCTTAAAACCCTAACCCCCAAATCCCTAAAATCCTAACCATTAAAACTCCAACCCTACAAAACTTAAAATCCTTAAACATAAACCCCGAGAACACTTACCCTGAAACCCAACCCTAGTGCCCTATCCCTGAAACCTTAAAACCGTGAATCAGTCTGTAGCCAATAACATAGGCTCAGGGGAGGATCTCAGTACAGTAGCATTTTTATTCGAGATTATAATGGCGGGTGTCCCGCAAGCAGGAGGGCGCCTACTAATTCCATACACAGTTTATATACTTTTTTTTTTCCCTCCCAAGGACCAGGATCCTCCCCTGTTTCCCCATTAACTGTGCAATCCAGGTTCATACTCTATCTGTTGCTTCACAGAAAATACACAGCTGCTGGCCTGTTACAAGTCACATTTCTTTTGAGGCTTTTACTCTTTGAGGTGGTAATGTTTATTACACGGTGATTTCCACCTAATGGCAGTAAGGATTCTGGTTGTCTGCATTTTACAAGGTTGCCTGTTGTAATAAATGACTAAGTCCCAAATAGGATTACAATCAAAGTTTACAATTTATTAAATGAATAGAGGTAAGCAAACAGCACTGGGTGCACTGGGAGTCTCTGCTCGACCAAGATGCACACCAGTTACATCAGGCAGCTGGTTTTTATGCTCCTAGGCTAATACATATTCATTACTACTTCTAGAAAAGGAGGGTTATTATAATTAGTTCCTGGAATCCAAACCCACCCACTGGTGCATGCGTTATCAGTCTCTGGTGGTCCCTCTGTGGGTCTCTCGTACTGAAGGCTCATAGTCTTCCTCACAGGCTTTTCCCTTGTCCTTCTCCTTTGTCCATCTTGGTTGGATGTCAGAGACTTGCATAGTGTCCCATGAAACAGTTGTAATAGCAGTTATTCTGAAACCCCTTTGTTCTCTTATCCCCTATTGACCCGAATTGCTGGACCATTCCTTTGCAAGATGAGAAGAGGCAAAGAGAGCAGGAGGAACAGCAGCCCTGTTCTGGTCTGGCTTAGTTCAACAGGGTGCAGCACAAGCAACCAGGCTGTTTCTCTTCAAAGACTTGCATTGGTGAAGGAAACTGACCGGGCTGACAACCCTCTCACCTTTTTGCACCACTCTACAACATGGGGACTTCACCTCTCCAAGGCTGCATGAGGGAAGGGCGGAAACAAGAAAAAAAGCACATCCTGAGGCACCTGATAACCACAGCCTACCTACTGCAATACTTGTGTCTCTCTTCCCAGCTGCTTTACCTCTGCCACTCTCCATCTCCAA